CGCTCTTCCTCTCTTCAGAATAAAATTCATCTTTACCGCACCTTCAACCATCACGAGACCATTTTTTATTGTGTATTTTTTTAGTGCAACTGTAATTATTTTTTAAAATATTTTTTTATTTTAAAATTTTTGAAAGTAATATTTTTTATTTTAAAAAAATTATTTTTAATATAAAATGATCTAAAAATAATAAAAATATTAAGTTGAAGTAAAAAAATAAAAAATAATAATTTTTTTACAAACACTTTTAAAATATAAAAACAAATAGGTTAACTTTCAAAGCCTTCTTTCTTGCTTAACCTCTCTAGTCTTTAAATAAAATTTGGTGAAATCCATCTTCTTAATTAGGTCAGGTCAGGCCGTGTAGTGTTGTAATAATTAAAAGATCCACAATGCTTTGAGTTTTAGATCCATCAAAAGACGTGGAGCATGAACGTGTAATTAATTCTGAACAAAATGCATCTATTTTCAGGGCAGCATAGATAAAAACCAAAAGGAGAGGGGAGAAACACAAATAAAAAGTGGGATATTTCTGTATCATATATACATAGCAGCAAGAATCATCACTGGTTTAGGCGAGCACCCAGTTGAGAAACCAACCTTCTTGCGATGATCTAAAAAACATGTCCACCTCCTCACGGTTCATAACCTCAAAGAATTGCACATTTGGCAGTTTCCTCTTGCATGAACCTGGACTTCTTGGTTTCTATGGTGCTGGTGGACAGGAATATTGTGTTGAGATGATGTTGGTGTGCAGCAATCGTCATCTTCACCATCATCATGAGTCTTTATCACTTTCAGTCGGAGTTCTGGCAAGTTTTGGAAGAGTTCTTGATGGCTAGACATTGTTGTTTTGAGAGGGATTACTACCTAGAAATGGAGGGAGTTAAACAATATGAGAAAAGAAGAGGAGGTATGCATTATAACAGGACAGGGAGAGACAAATTAACAGGGGTTGTGTTGATTGGGTGTTTTTCTTTTATTCTTTTTGGTAACATTCAATAAAAATAAAACTCAGATGTCGTTAAATATTGTCTATATAGAAAATATGAAGGTAATATAAATAGAAAGGAGATATCTCCTCCTTAACTCTTATATCTTATATAAAAATTTATATTAAAATTGTTCTAAAAATATATTTATCTTTTTATCTTTTCAACTAAATATATTTATATTTTTTTATATCTATTACAATTGTCCTAAGATAAGTACGTGTTCTTAATAAATGTTAGAGTTAAAAAACTTATATTTTTTTTAACGGCATCAAATTAATGCTTTATGTAGTATTTTATAATGGTTTTGTTTTGCCAATATCAGAAATTAAAAAATAATCTGATAAAATTATTTTTATATATTTTTAAGTGGAAAACACTTTACATTATATTACTAAATATACCCTTAGAATTTATTATCATGTTTGGATATAAATTTTCCACTTAGATTATTTGAGGGGTTGCATAATAAGCATGGTAGCTTAGAAATTTAGATGGTAAGGGACCTTGTTCTGAATGTTGCTGATTTTTTTTTATTGGGAAGGTTTAATTTCCAAATTTCTGTGTTATTAGAATTTTTTTTCCCTTAATGGTAAGGGAGTTTTCCATTAATTCACATCTACATATGTTGATGTTTTCTTCATAGACCCCTTTCATTAATTTTTCGATTCATTTGGAGGTTTAAACCTTAGGCTACACAATAGAATAATTAGTAGACATTTTGCATTACGTAATTGTAACGAAAAGCTTTAGTCGCTAATATTTGAACATTAAGATTTTACTTAAAAGAGGCTATAATACATTCTAAATCCTCTTTTTATGCATAACACAACATGTGATTAAGTGCAAGCGTTACATCTTGAGTTACTCACCTCATTGAATTACCAAATATCGTAATCAATATTAAAATGATTTTGATTATACTATTTTGAAATGTAAAGATAGATATATAATATGTTTTATTATACTTTATTTTTAATAAAATAAAAATACTTGTTTCAAAACTTTCCCAAGACAAATTTATTTTATATCATATCTACCTCTTGAATTCCTAGTACAAGTACAACCAGGTCCCGTCCTCCATATGAGAACAAAAGTAGGAAATTATATAATAAACACAAACACACACTGTGTATTCTGAAGGCTCAATAATTCCTTGAGATTCATGGGGCCTTGCTCGTTTATCTAGGCAGAAGAATCCATCACCATGCACCAAATCCCATCATAGGATTGTCAAGCAAGTTTAGGTTTATTTGGGTTAAAACATGAGTTGTTTATATGTTTAGAAGAATCTATATAAACAATTTATAAACATATAAAATAAAATGATTTATTTTCTGAATAATCGATCATAATAATACACCACTAAATCAGCATAATTCATATATTTAGAAGAATAAGTTTTTTAAAACATAAATTTCATTAGTCGAACTTAAAAAATCAAGAGAAAAAAAAAAAGGAAAAACCTCCATTACCACCTACCTAAGTACATGCATAAGCACACAGTTGATAGATCGGGAGACACTAGATTTTATGATGTTTCAATAAAGATCTATCTCATGTCCAATTCTATTTCTTATTAACTATCAACAATTCACTTCTTTAAATTATGAACTTTATATCCCTCGGAAATTAATAAAATTAAAATATCAGCCCCCGAGCTTAAAAAAAACCAGAAAACTGAAAAATTACGGAAAAGTGGATTATACTGTCTGGTAGGTGTACAGAAGCCGTAGAGATTTCATGTCCATTCACTGTCAAGCTATAAAAGAGTATATCCTTCGTGAATCAAACAAATGCTTTTACTTTCGATTTCCTGACAAAACTTTCAAAATTAGTTTGATCTTCCTTAATTACGTAAGTGCATTTCATGTCAACTGATTTCAATCTACTCTCTGGACTGTCCCTTCTAAACTTACTGTGTCTGAGAAAACACATTTTGTCTTGAAGTCAGCATCACTGTTTTTAATCCGGCCTGGTTTGCAAGTCGATACTGGACCCGATTAATTTAATCCTAACCAAGCTGAGTGTAATAAAAAATTAACTTAAAGTTGATTCAGTGAGGGGTTAACATGATCATAATCTTATTGACAGTTTAAACAAAAAAAATCAAAATAATACTGTTTCAATTAACTTATTTTATTTATAACTCAAGTCCTATGTCATGTTAATTCTCGGGCTAGATTTAATACATTACATGTGTTATAAAGTTTACAACATCACCATGCAATTTTCTTTTTAATTAATCATGGTGTTCTTGGATAAGCAATTTTTCCACATTGATATACTATATTTCTCTTTTCTGTCGAGTCTTGGACACACTTTACATTAGGACAAATATATTTATATATAAAAAATATTTTTCAAAATTTTATTTAAATTTAAAATGATAATATGACATGGAAACCTCC